GGGGCCATACCTCTGGTCCTTGTCCTGGGGCTGCGCCAGGGCCGCGCGGGCCGGTGGCAGAGAGCAGGAGGTGCACCTGCGCGCCCCTGGGAAGCCCACCCTTCAGCCGGCCATCAGCTCCCTCCCCTCTGGGTCCTTCCCGCCCTCCGCTACCTGTGCTGACTTGGGTCCCACGAATTGAAGGAATGCAGGGTTTCCTCCCAACTCCCTTTTTCACTCAGGTATTTAGGGTCATGGACAGTTCCCAATAATTTTCATGACTTTTTCTTTTTTTTTTTTAGCCAGTTATCATCCCGGTCATGAGAAACAGCTGCTGTTGCCCATTTTAACGGTCAAGGCCTCAGCACAGCTGGAGATCAGGTTGCAATGAGCGCAGTGACCAGATCACAGACAATCCCCGCACCCAATTACAGACACACGCACGCCCCTGGGTGCTTTCATCTTTGTCATCAGCTTTGGACAAAATCGGCTCAGAGGCAACTTGGAGGCTCTTAAGCCTCGGATGGAAGAGACAGGGAGGAACAAAGCCGGCCAGAAAATAGATGGTAGAGGTCTCAGCGCCCCTGCCCTGGGGACCTGCCACTGCACAGGCCAATGGCATGGCAGCAGCTTCCTCCTGCCAAGGAGATTTCCAATGACATTGCCTCCTTTATAATTCATGTGCGGTGAGCTCACTGGGATGACTCAGTTTGGATATGTATTCTTCCCGGGTCTTCCCCTCGTTAGTCATTTGTATTTTATTGACATAAACCATTTAGCATTCTGAGAGCTCATTTCCAGTCACAAAGGGATATGTACATTTTTAACCCAAAATGTAAACCTTTCTAACAGCATCTATGGAACCCAATTCCATAGCAGCTAAAATTGTTCACGTAAAATAAGCGCATACTCTGTACCAGGACCATGCTAAATGCATACTTAGGCTGGCCCACCACGCCCATGTGGTGGGGGCTATTACTATTATTGTGTTTTGCCACACAGGTTGTTTGACTAGAAGAGAGGTAGAGTGCAGACCTGAGAGACAGCCTCCTGCTTGGAATCCTGGCCCAATCCCATACAAGCTGTGTGACCTTGGGCAAGTGACTGCATACTTCTGGGCTGTGGTTTTCTTATTAGTAAAACAGGATGCTTACCTCAAAGGGCTGTTATCAGGAGTACATGACAGTGAAGTATCTGAGGCAGTGCCTGGCTCATGGTAAATGGATGTAAGTGTTTTAGCTAGTATGTTTATTCCATCCAAATGTTCACTGACTGCCTTCCAGGAGCCAGGCACCAGGATCAGCAGCACACAGATGAGGCCTTGTTCAGATGGGACAGCCAGAGAATAAACACGTAAATGAATAAATAAGAAAACGCCACGGGATGATAGCAGTGGCTATAAAGTCAATAAAACAAGGAAATGTTTCATCAAAGGAGGGGAATCCGGGAAGGCCTCCAAGAGGGGAAATTTGAGCCGGGACCTGAACAGTGAAGCAGTGGGCTGTGGGAGGTCTTGGGGAGCAGGGAGTGCAGAGGTTCTGCCAGTGAGAGCAAGCTGCAGTAAGGAGGCCAGTGTGGCTGGAGTGGCATGAGCAGAGGTGAGATGGATGACGGCAAGTGAGGTAAAAGAGAGGCCAGGGCCAGGTCTTACAGCATGTGATAAGTCGTTCTGGAGAAACAAAGGGATCTGCCCAGGGTCGCACACCAGCCAGGCAGTCTGCCTGATTCTGGAGCCTGAGCTCACTACCAGGAGTCAGTCCCCTGCAGGAGAGGACAGTGTATAAGCTGGGCCTGGCAGCTGCACATTAACTCAATGTCAAGTCCAAGGCAAGCCCATCAGGCGCTGATGTCCTGACTAACTGTAATTCCTGGCTGACGAGGACAGCCACCAAGCCGGTCTGTGACCCAGGCGAGGCTTAGCAGCCAGGGCTAATGCAAACCAAGAGTCTATCTCCTGATATGCTTTCTCTGACTCATCCAGGTATAACCTGAGACTTGTCAAGGTCAGGCTTTCACCCGCCCAGGTCCCTGGGGAGAGAGCACTTAGCACTTTTCCAACATGTCCTATTGCATGTTTAATGTTCCTGTGAAAATGTCTTGATTTCTTTCTCTCCCCCAATCTATCTCCAAATAGAGCCTAGAAGAGAAATTAAGGGACTCCGGTTCTGAGCTGCTGCTGGATATTTTGCAGAAGGTAAGAATCACAGGGTCAGTCACTGGGATACGGTCACCAGCCTCCTGACCTGCCCATGAGGACAGGACAGAAGTGCAGTGCCTGTGCTTGTCTCCTTTAAAAAGAAAGGCTCTGCATTTGGGTGGGAGCACCTCAGAGAGCTCTGTCTTAGATGAAGATATCAGAATATACAAAAATCTACTTGAGAGGAGGGAGTCTGGCAGATGTTTTTTAAACTGTCCACAGAGAAAACAAGTGACAGCTGTGGGAACATCTAGCATTTGCTAACTGTTCAGAGAATTTCTTCTTTACATTTAAGGGGAAAATAAAGATGCACGTCTTGCCCACTTGTGTCTCTTTTCCAGATGTAGGTGGGCCCCTGCTTTTTGGAGTTGAGTTTTGGATTCTAAGATGCGTGTGGGTGAGGGTATATGTGGAACCACCACTGTGCCTGACCTGCCCCTGGCCATGTGGATCAAGTGCAGATTACATTGCCTCCTGGCTCTCAACCCTCTGAAGGGTCATGAACCCTTCTCAAAACCCAAAGCTATGGGCTCTCCCCCCAGAAAAAAAAAATGCATCAGAATACATTTGGAATACAAATTCAGGGGAGTCACAGATCCTCCTCCCACCACTAAGCCCTCCAAGGAACCCAGATTAAGAATTCCTGCGTGGCCCTGGCCAATGGGGCTCAGTTGGTTGTAGAATAGTCCCGTCTACCAAAAGGTTGCAGCTTCGATTCCAGGTCAGGGGACATACAGAAGGCAACCAGTTGATCAGTGTTTCTCTCTCTCTCTCTCTCTCTCTCTCTCTCTCTCTCTCGGAAGGCAACCAGTTGATCAATGTTTCTCTCTCTCTCTCTCTCATCCTCAGTTGAGGATTAAAAAAAAAAAAAAAGAATTCCTATGTGGAGGGTGAACCAGGGGTATCCTTCTGACCACCAAGTAGAGAAGGTGGAGCTGTAACTGGGGAAGACTTCAGGGCAATCTAGTATTCAGGACTGTGAGCTCAGAGATGTCCAAGGTTATTGTTCATTGTAGGCTACTCTGATTCTTACCCCACCTAACACCAGCCAACTAGAAAGCCCCTGAGCAGTGTGTGGGTATGTTATTGCCCTTGGGTAAAATAATGTCCCTCCAGCCAACAGGCCCCCTGGAACTGGTCCCTACTCTCATTGCTCCTGTCACCCTGCCCTCCTTCCCAAAATGCCAGGCTGTGGCCACCTTGGAGCCCGCTTAAGCTGTTCTCTCTGCCTGGATCTCCTTCCCCAGCTTTTTGATTCCACTAAACTGTCACCCCTGAGAGCCCCCTTTCCCCTCCTCCACGTCCCAGGTGGAGCCCCCATCTTCCTCTGCCCTGACCACCAGAGCACTCATCATGGTCTGGCTCCTGCTCATCTCCTTGGCTGGAATATGAGTTCCAGGAGGACAGGTGCCAAATCTGCCTTGTTCCACCATTTGGGCTCTTGCCTCTTCCATGGAGCCAGGCAATCCCACACTTGTCCTTACTACAAACTCTCATTCATGCTGGCTGCCCTGGGAAGGGGTGTGTCTTAGACCAGTCCAGCTGCTATAACAGAATACCATAGACTGTGTGGCTTATAAACAACAGTAATTTATTTTGCACAGTTTTGGAGGCTGCAAAGTCCAAGATCAAGGTGCCAAGTTCAGTGTCTGCTGAGGGTCTGCTATCTGATTCATAGAGGGCCATCTTCTCATTGTATCCTCATATAGTGGAAGGCACAAGGGACTGCTATGGGGGTCTCTCATATAAGTGCACTAATCCCATTCTTGGGGGCTCCACCTGCATGACCTAATCACCCCCCAACGGCCCCACCTCATAAAACCATTGCATTTGATGTTAGATTTCACATATGAATTTGGGGAGATGCAGACATTCAGTCGATAGCAGGGTGTTTGCTTGGGTCCTTGTGCCTCACGTTCCTGCCCAGAATGGGTGTTAGAAACACCGCCACAGCCTGTGCTGCTGCAGCAGAGAAGTGTTGGGAAAGGGCTTATTCTGAAGACTTACTCTTTCAGATGCATGAATCACCTAGAGTCAGAACCTTTGTGTCTGTATGTGTTTGCTGAGGGATCGGGTAACTGGGGTTTGCTGTGTAGTCACTTAGAGCCCATGGGAGACTTCAGGCCGGGTTTCTTCAGCAACTCACATGTGTCCCTTGTCACAGACCGTGAAACATCCTCTGTGCGTGAAGCATCCGCCGTCTGTGAAGTATGCCCGGTGCTTTCTCTCGGAGCTCATCAGAAAGGTCAGTGGTGGGCATGTCTGCCTGGTAGCCAGACAGCATCTGGCACTTGGCTGGCTCTCCAGAAGTGGGCCCTCTGCCCAGCTTTGCTTTTTGGAGCTCAGATCCGTCCCATGCCCTTTGCCTCCTCTGCAAACCCCGTATGGCAGGTGCTCCCTGGGCAACTGTCTCCCAGCTGGGTTCGACCAATGAAAGGCCGTGGAGGGCGGAAAGAGAACTCCAAGGCCTTTCTCCCTCTCTACCTCGAGGGATCTCCAGCAGCAGCTGCATCTCCTCTGTGGTCCCTGTGCGAGTTGTCATTTCTACCGGGCAGCCCTGAGCATCGAATCCCCACCTTCTTCTCTTCTCCCACCTGAGAGGTTTTGACAGTTTCCTACTGTTGCCAATCTCTGGATTGCTGCACTGTCCTTGTTGGAGGTTTTAGGTCTTGCAATGCCTTTATAACTAGTTCCCCTTACTACTTTACTCCCAGTGAACTACTGGAATAGCTGTTTTCCTGACTGATACAGGATGGGTTTTAAGGTTGAACCCAAATTTGCTAAATTTCATGTTAGACTGGAGTTCAGTAAGATAAAACCTCAGTGGTCAGTAGCAGGCCTGACCTGTTTGGCCTCTGAATACAAGGGCCGTGCCTCACCCATGCTTAGCACATGGAGCGATCCCGGCTTCTCCGTTGCCTCCATCCCTCGTTCTCACCAGCATGGCACATCTAGCAGTCACCAGCAGGTCTCTCCCACACCACTAGGGGGAGCAAGGCCACCGATGCCACCCCACCCCACCCCCATGGGGCGCAGGACAGGTTGCCCACTGATGAAGCTACACCCTGAAGTGCCCATCCTGTGGCTTTTGCCTGGGCCCACTTAAAAGCACCATTTGTATTCTCCATCCCAGACATCATGGTCAAAGGGCAGAGCTCTCTGTCCCTGTCACACAGCAGCTCTCATGCCATTCCGTTTCTGCTGCCATAGATTACACCTTATTCTCACCCTCGCCCTCTCTATACCTCTTTGAGATACCCAGGTCCCCCCACTGAGTGAATTTTTTATATGCCAGGTAGCCTATGTTACATCAGTCCATCCCAATCTGCCTCACCATATTTAGTGAAAATCCTCCAGCCGTTTTTAGAAGTCAGAGTAAAGGCAAATAGACAGGACCTTTGTTTGATTCATGAGGGTCCATATTTAATGCTCTTGCTGAAGCTCTCGCTCCACCACCCCCAGCACGAAGCTGCTCATGAAGAGCCTTTGGACGAGCTGTACGAGGCGTTGGCAGAGATCCTGACAGCCGAGGAGCCCACTCAGTGCCACAGGAGCTATCTGTTGGTAGGAGCCGTGCGCCTCCCTCCCCCCACAGGCCAGACACCCGCCTCTGCACACAGTTACAACTCAGGCTCCAGCAGCCTCCCATGGGTTCAGACCCTGACTCATCAGCTCTGTGGTCTTAGGTGGAGTCAGTTAACCGCCTCTGAGCTTAGTTTCTTCATCTGTAAATCAAGCACTTTGACAAATAATAGTACCTGTTTTATGGGGTGGCTGGGAGTTAAATTAGGTTATGCATAGTATTTACATAGCAGGAACATGGCACTCAGTCCCCAGTAAATGCTTGATGAGTGGGTGTTATAGGACAGCAGTCACTTCCCACTCTCCCCCACCACTATCCTCACCAGCCTGGACCACTGTCACAGCCTTCTGACTGGTCTTCCAGCTTCATGCCCCACAAAAATCCATTCTGCACACAACAGTCAAAGGGATCTTGGATGTTTTTGTCTGTTTTTAACCTTTTACCATAAAATAAAGCATAGATACAGAAAACCACACAAAATAAATATACAGCTTATTGAATCATTGCAAGGCAGCCACCCTGGTAACCGTCACTTCAGTCAAAAGACAGAATTTTGGCAGCCAGTTCACAAGGGCCTACTTTTAAGGGCTCAGATGATAAAATTGGTCTCACCCAGATAATCCAGGATAATTTTTCCATCTCGAGTTCTGTAACCTTAAGCACATCTTCAGATCCCTTTGCCTTGTAACATAACACAGACACGGGGCCCAGGGGGTGGGCATAAACATGAATGACTTAGCAAACATCCCATAGTCTCTTCCTTTTCAATCTATATGTCTTTAGAGCTCCCCCTCAATCCACATGTTGACGTCTCTCTAGCCATTTTGGTTGTCTGAAGTTTGTTCTCCAATAGATTCTTTAAGAAGGGCTTCTGGGATTGACCTTCCCTGCATTCTTACATGTTGATAACAGTATGAGCCATTTATACTTGAATTCTGACTCATATTTTCTCTCCTTGAGTCTCTTAAATATGTTTCTCCCTTTTCTTTGGCATGAAGCATTGCTGTGGGAAAGCCTGATGATAATCTGATTTTCTCTTCCTTTTCTCTTCGATGGGCAAAGGGTCTTCTTTCTTCAAAGTTCAGTCATTTTACTAGAATGTGTCTTGGGTTGATTATTGGGGGCTGGTGATCCCAGGAGCAATGTTTGTATTCCTTCAGTGTTATTTCAAATCATTTTGTTTTTTCAGGAATGCTTTCTTAAATTATAATTTTTAGTACTTGTTCTTTGCTTTTGTTTTTCATTAAAAAGTACCTTAAAACATGTAGCTTAAACAAAAGAAATGTATCACCTCACAGTTCTGGAAGCTATAGCTCCAAGGTCAGGGTGTTAGCAGGGCTGCAGGGAAGGCTGTGTCCAGCCACTCCTCGGCTTGCAGGTGGCCGTCTCCTCCCTGTCTCTTCACAGCATCATCCCTTGTGGTGTTTCGATGTCCTGATATCCTCTTCATATACGGATGCATTCAGGACCTTATTTGAACTTGATTCCCTCTGTAAAGACCCCGTCTCCAAATAAGGTCACATTCAGGGGTGCTGGGGGTTAGGACTTCAGCATATGAATTGGGAGGGTGGGGGGACACAGTTCATCCCATAGCAATCTCTTTCTTTATTTTTTTATTTTTTTTAGGGGGGGGAGTACACACACACACACACACACACACACACACACACACACACACACACACACACATATTTGTTGTTGTTAATCCTCACCAGGGGATATTTTTCCAGTGATTTTTAGGGAGAGTGGAAGAGAGAGGGAAAGACAGAGAGAATCATTGATGTGAGAGAAACATATCGATTGTTTGCCTCCTGCACAAGCCCTGACCAGGGCCCCAGGCCAGGGAAGAGCCTGCAACCAAGGTACCCTTGAACAGAATCGAACCCAGGACTGCAGTCCGATGTTCTATCCACTGAGCAAAACCAGCTAGGGCTTAAATTTATTTGTATTGATTTCAGAGAGGAAGGGAGAGAGAAACATCAATGATGAGAGAGAATCATTGATTGGCTGCCTCCTGTACGCCCCACACTGGGGACCGAGCCTGCAACTCAAGTATGTGCCCTGACCAGGAATCGAACTATGACCTCCTGGTTCATATGTCGAAACTCAACCACTGAGGCACATCAGCCGGACTTGTTTTCTGTTTTTAAAAATCACTTCATTTCACCTCCTCTTTCTCTTAACTTTATCTAGTTTTGTTTTGTTTTCATTCTCATATTCCTTCGTGTAGTCCTTGACCACCTAGGTGTTCTTGCTGTTCTTGGCCGGCCCCTGCATCCCGATGAATGCCTGTAGCTCTGAATTCTCCTGTCCTCAGGTCAGCCGCATGCCCCATTGCTTCCCTCTTCTGTCTCCACAGACACAATGAGCATGAGGGTTATGCCTGTGGTTTCCCCTCATCTGTTGATATTTTCAGGCTCACAGAGATAGATACTTTGTTGTAAATGTTGTCCCTATCTCACTGCTCTGTCTGTTCTTGATGTAGGGATTCAGGAAGATTCAAAAGTACTCTGCAGCCATCTTCCCCAAATTCCCCTGAGTGATCCCCCTGATTTGAGGTAAATCCGATCATGTCACTCACCTATTCAGAACCCACCAGTGGCTTCCCTTTGCACCATCACTCAATCCTAATTCCTTAGGTGGCCTATGAGTCCCACATGCCCTGCCCCAGCCTTTCTCTCTTGTCTAGTGCCTTCTGCTTTCCCTGAGCCCCAGCCCCCTGGTCTTCTTTGTCTTCCTTGAACTCACTAACTGCAACGCTGCCTCAGGGCCTTTGCACTTGCTCTGCCTAGAATACTCTCCCCCAAGAACCTCACATGCCTCACTTCTCCTTTTCACCCACATCTCAGGTCATATGTCACCCCCTCAAAAAAGCTATCTCTGACCAATCTATCTGAAGCAGACCTCCCTTCCCACCCCCAGTCTTAATAGAAGACTGAGAGTGGGTGATTGCATCTTGGGGGTGTCATTCTCAGCAGCCCCAGGTTGGAGAACATGTTTCAGGACTGGATGTTCCATGAAACACATGCCAGTAAGCCAAGCATGGGGTCCCCGCCTTCTGTGGGGATAGAAATGACAGGAAACTCCAAAGGCCAGAGACTCCCCCAGCCCCAGATGTCAGGTTGAACTCAGGAAGCCCCACACACTGAGACTGTTCACATATAGCTCATGGTACCAGAGAGGTGTAACTTTTATTTATTAACTAGAGGCCTGATGCATGAAACTCGTGCAAGGGGCTCCACCCTCCCAGCCCTGGCTTCGTCCGGAAGGACATCTGGTCTGATTAGCATATTACGCTTTTATTATTATAGAAAACTATAGATTCACAGAAAGCTGCAAAAATCGTACAGGGAGGCCCATGTGCTCTTTCCCCAGTGTCCCCCAGCGGAAACACCTGGCACTCACAGCATCACAGCCAGGACACTGACATGGCACGGTGTGTGTGTAATTCTGTGTCGTCCACCACATGTGGGGAACTGCACAGGCACCACCACAGTCAAGACACAGAACTGTTCTGTCACGGCAAAGACCTCCCTCAGGCCACCCCTTCATAGTCACACCCATGGCTAGTCCCCATTCCTACCCCAGGCAGCCCTGCCACTGATCTGTTTCTCCGTCTCCACAACTCTGTAATTTGAGAATGTTAGATAAGTGGAATCACACAGTATGTGACCTTCTGAGATTGGTTTTTTTCATTCAGCATAACGCCCTTGCAATCCATCCAGGTTGGTGCATATGTCAACAGTTTGTTCTTTTTTATTGCTGTGTGGTATTCCATGGCATGGGCATACCAGTTTATTTAGCCATCCACCTGCTGTGATTTTTTTCTCTTTAACGCCAGCTTATTGTCTTCTGGTAGCTGGATTATCTCTCTACCTGTCTCCATCCAGCCTTCCGGGGACTCGGTCACACTCTCTGAGAGCTCAGCCATCATTTCCCATGGCACCACCGGCCTGGTCACGTGGAATGCTGCACTCTACCTTGCAGAATGGGCCATAGAGAACCCAGCGGCTTTCACTCACAGGTGACCTCGGGGCACAGGGCAGGCAGGGTACCAAGGCGAGTTTTCCCCAGCATGATTTCAGACACATGTCCCCTTCTCCCACTCAGGACTGTCTTAGAGCTCGGCAGTGGAGCCGGCCTCACAGGCCTGGCCATTTGCAAGATGTGCCATCCTAGAGCATATGTCTTCAGTGACTGTCACGGCCTTGTCCTCGAGCAGCTCCGAGGGAACATCCTTCTCAATGGCCTCCTGTTAGAGTCAGATGCCACCGCCCCTGCGCAGCACCCAGGACACAACACCCACAACACAGAGAGCCCCAGGGTGACGGTGGCACAGCTGGACTGGGACATCGTGACGGCCCCTCAGCTCGCTGCCTTCCAGCCAGACGTCATCATCGCAGCAGGTGCCATTCAGCTCCCTGTGGCTTCCATTTGTGGTTTCCCTGTGGCTCCACCCACTCTCAGTTTAGGGAAGGGAACCATGGACTCTGCAGGGTCAGGGAGGTACAGATGGATGAGACATCTGGAAGGGTCACTGTGAGCCTCCAGAGTGACATCAAAGCACAGGGTGTGCCTCTGGGGTGCCCTAAAGCCACATGCGCCTGTTTGATCAAGTGGCTACTTGCATTCCCATTGTAGTGGTTCTATCAGATAAATGAACCTGGCTCTTGCCCGCAAGGCCTGGGATGAGCAGAGCAGGCCCCAGGGCACCACGGTGGTCTGACCTATTAGCCCGGCCTTTGTGTCCCTCTCCAGAGCCTGAGGGAGGCCACTCAGTTGCCATCTAGAACCTAAATCAAGTAGTGAGAGCAGCCCCATCTTCAGGCAGAGGGGGTGGGAAATGGCTGTGGCAGCCTTGTCCTTTCAGGGCCACAGGAACAGCACAATATTCCCAGGACTGTCTGAGTCCTCTGTGTGTCACGGGAACCCAGGGGCTCACCATCCAACCGTAGTCGAGTCTGAGTCAGGGAAGTTGCTCTGAGTGCCCCACTTCTGTCAGCGCTGGCTTCCCTGTGCTCGGTACCATCGCCACATGTCTGTGTGGCCCTGAGGAGAAGAGCTCCTGCATGTTTCTATCCCAGATGCACACCGTGTCTTTCGGAGACGAGTCCCCACAGAGGGGACCCCCCACTTCTAGTGCAAGAACAGGTTCCTTGAGAGAAGGGACATTTGGCTTGGCCACCAACAGACCCCTTATCCTCTGCCAAGCTCACCTCAACCCCTGGCTGACAGAGCTGTCTATACCTCTGGTCCTGGGCCACAGCCCTGAGACCCATAAGCACACAGTGGCCGGAGCGCAGAGCCCAAGCAGCACACCCCAAGGTGGCACCATCCCTGTAAGCCTGGCTGTCAGGCCCTGCAGGGTCAGGGAGGTACAGATGGATGAGACATCTGGAAGGGTCACTGTGAGCCTCCAGAGTGACATCAAAGCACAGGGTGTGCCTCTGGGGTGCCCTAAAGCCACATGCGCCTGTTTGATCAAGTGGCTACTTGCATTCCCATTGTAGTGGTTCTATCAGATAAATGAACCTGGCTCTTGCCCGCAAGGCCTGGGATGAGCAGAGCAGGCCCCAGGGCACCACGGTGGTCTGACCTATTAGCCCGGCTTTTGTGTCCCTCTCCAGAGCCTGAGGGAGGCCACTCAGTTGCCATCTAGAACCTAAATCAAGTAGTGAGAGCAGCCCCATCTTCAGGCAGAGGGGGTGGGAAATGGCTGTGGCAGCCTTGTCCTTTCAGGGCCACAGGAACAGCACAATATTCCCAGGACTGTCTGAGTCTGTGTGTCACGGGAACCCAGGGGCTCACCATCCAACCATAGTGGAGTCTGAGTCAGGGAAGTTGCTCTGAGTACCCCACCTCTGTCAGCGCTGGCTTCCCTGTGCTCGGTACCATCGCCACATGTCTGTGTGGCCCTGAGAAGAGCTCCTGCATGTTTCTATCCCAGATGCACACCGTGTCTTTTGGAGACGAGTCCCCACAGAGGGGACCCCCCACTTCTAGTGCAAGGACAGGTTCCTTGAGAGAAGGGACATTTGGCTTGGCCACCAACAGACCCCTTATCCTCTGCCAAGCTCACCTCAACCCCTGGCTGACAGAGCTGTCTATACCTCTGGTCCTGGGCCACAGCCCTGAGACCCATAGGCACACAGTGGCCGGAGCGCAGAGCCCAAGCAGCACACCCCAAGGTGGCACCATCCCTGTAAGCCTGGCTGTCAGGCCGGAGTGAGGTGGTCCCCACCCTGCAGAGAGCAAAGACGCAAGAAGTCTGAAGCAGACTCAGGTTTGCTTTATTAAAGAATTGATTTTTTTTTTTTTTTAAGGAACAACAGTGAGTCCTTGATATTTTTCAGTTGTTGCCTTGTCTTTCAGCAGCTTTCATTCTCCTAAGGATTTTCTTTTTATACATACATAACTTTCTTTCCATTTAATAGAACTGCTGCTTTCCTGCCCCTTGACCTGCTACCAAGGTTGGCACAACCCAGCACTCTCCATTCTGGGGTCCTGAATCCTAGAGGGAGTCCCTGTTAGTGACCCAGGGTTTTTCATTGCAGATGTGCTGTACTGCCCAGAAACTGTCCTCTCGCTGGTCAGGGTCCTGCAGACACTCTCTGCTTGCCAGAAGGACCGGCAGGCTCCTGACGCCTACATTGCCTTCACCATCCGCAACCCAGAGACATGCCGGCTGTTCACCACTGAGCTAGGTGAGCCCAGGACAGGCTGAGAGGCCATCCAGCCTGCAGGGGCCACTGTGCTGGCCCCACACAGGACTCCAGTGAGGCAGAAACCAGGGAAGTGAAAGAATGGGGCCCCAGCGACAAACCAGAAGCTGAGCTGGGCGATAACTCCCGCCCTGAAGTCAGCAGAGGAGGCAGGGGGGAGAGCGGGCTCCGGGGGACAGAGATAGCGCACACCGTGATCCTGGAGGGCTGGGGCCAGCAGCCCTGCCATGTGGTTAGGGCAGGTTTCATTGGCTATAAAGTGGACGGGATGGCGGATGCCAGTGGTGTCAGGGTAGACGAAGTTCAGACCACATTGCCGTCAGGCACAGGCTCTAGAGTTGGTTCCAACACCCGCCCTGGTGGAACTGAGCTGGCACTGCCTCCGAGGCATCTATACAGTGGAAACATCCACCTGAGGTGGAGCAGGGCCTGACTCACAGGAACGCCCAGGAAAACGGGAGCTGCTATTACTGGATTAAATGCACAGTAAATGGAAGAACAAGGGGTGACTTTCAGAAGGGAGAGGAGTCTGCCATTTACAGCCCTGAATTGGCATTGCTGCAGACCAGGCACTGTCCCCAGACCTGACATGTGCCAGCCCCTCTAGCAGCTGGAGGGGTGTCATCCTCTGTTGCCCATGGAAACATGGGTGTAGGGAGGCTAAGTAACTCCTGCTCTCCACCCCTAATCTCCCACCCCACACCCACTGCCCTGCTATTCCCACCACCTGCCAGGCCCAACCAGGCCTCTATCTCAGAACCTGACAACAGTGCAGGACCCATTTGCCCCAACACCCTCCCCCAGCAAAGCCCCACCTGTAGCAGCCTCTGCTGACAAACACAGAGACCTCCCGAACACCCACCCACACGTGCCCATGTCCTATTGGCAGAGTACTGTGAGCCTCGAAAAGAATGAAGTCCTTCTGGAGATGGGACTTATGTGAAAAAGTATCTACAGTATGTATTTTTTAATATTTTTAATTTACAGTTGACATATTAGTTTTCAGTGTACAACCCTGTGATTAGATATTTATGTTACTTAAAAAGTGATGACGCCGGCAATTCCCTGGGCAGTAAACCACGCACCATCTTGTGACACCGCCCCCACCCCAATAATAAATTTTTAAAAAAAAATGATGACGCCAATAAATCTAGTAACCATCTAATACCATAGTTATTGCAATATAATTGACTATATCGTCTTTGCTGTATTTTACATCTCCATGACTACCAATGTGTAGTTCTCAGTCCCTTCACCTTTTTCACCTATCCCCCACCTCCCTCCCGTCTGGTAACCATCAAAATCTACAATATATTTTAAATGAAGAAAGCGAAGTACCAAACAGCATAAATAGTATAAGCCAATTTTTATTTTAAAAAATAATCACCTTTATATTACTATTCACATGGGGGAAATCTGGAATAGACACTAGTTAACAGTTGTTATACTTGGACAGCAGGATCATAGATGCTTCTACACTTTTATTTCCTTTCATTTCCTTTTTAAATATTAATTTTTCATTCAAAATAAAATTTACAAAATGAACCTCACCAATGGCTCTTCAGACATCTGTGCTCATGAAGAGGACGGCTGCCCCTTCAGATTCATGTCCAGCCTTTGTGAGGAGGCACGTGCTGACCAGTCAGGCAGAGCGAGTTCAGAGTGTCAGCCTTTGTGAGGAGGTGTAGGACAGGTGCAGAGCTACAGGGAACCCAGACAGGCCATGACCTTCTGGGGATGGGCATGGCCGATGGGCAGACAGCAAACCTGGCTGTCATGAAGTGTTTAAAAACACGATTCCTGGTCCTGCTCCTAGAGGCTGACTCTAGATGTCTGGATGGGGCTTGAAAATCTGTCTGTACCCTCCCCCGCTCTCCACCCCCAGGCCTGTCCTGCAGCCCTGCACTGACAGGCGACATCCTGTCCCCAAACCCCACCATCCTGAGACACGTATGCTCTGTTTCCAGGGAAGGCTGGGATCTCATGGGAAGCAGTGCCTCGCCACAACCAGAAGCTATTTCCCTACGAAGAGCACTCGGAGATGGAAATTCTGAAACTAATGCTGTAGGTTTGCAGATGTTTGGGGAAATTACCACGAAAATTAAATCACTTGGGAAGGAATTTTTATGTTGGAAAGCTGATAAAACTTTCACTGGACTTAAATGTTTGAAGAGTGTTCAATTATGAATCAGGAACCACCAACTTTGTTCTAATGAAATATAACTGTTCAAGTGTGGGGGTACCCCTTTCTGTCAGCAGTTCTGGTTATAAGCAAATCACCATAAATCAAAAATGAAAATTTTGGCTCAGAGATAAGCTTTCCACTTGTGCAGGTAAAGACATATATATCAAGTATGTTTTCCTCCATTCTGGACACACATCCTACAGTACACATGGCACATCTCTGCTCACAGTGTGGGGGCCGCGGTGCCCATGTCAAGGCAGGAATCAAAACATTAGGGACATGACAGAACAGATGCTGAGAGAGGCAGACACCAGGAGACAAAAACAGGGACAAAGAGATGTTGAATAGACCACAGGCAATTAACAGGAAAGTAATAAACTAGAGGGAAGAAAGGAGAGAGAGAGAAGTGACTCAAGGCTGGACTAGTTTCCTGGGCCACAGATTCCCAGTCATTAGAATAAGTCCATTCCAAGCCGAAGGCTGGCCCTTCCTCAGCTTGTGTGGGAAGCCTCTCTTGGCTGTTGAGATGTGCCGACCCCACATCCCCTGCTACATGGTTAGCCTCACATGTAGAGCTGTGGAAGCTCCCTCCCGAAGTTTAAGGTGCGAGGCAGACACCCCTTTCCCCGACTTTAGGAAAATGTGGGACTCATACTCCAGTGCTCTGTAAAGATTTCCTTATTACAAATCCTCTCCCCTTAATGGTTCCAATCACCCAAACCCTTTTACCCTTCCTAAAGCATGAAGAGCAATGAAATGTTCTCTGACAATATACATCGGGAACTAGCACTTCACTTGGTAGACAACCTTCTCCATCTGTGTAGAGCTGTGGAAGCTCCCTCCCGAAGTTTGAGGTGCGAGGCAGACACCTCTTTCCCCGACTTTAGGAAAATGTGGTACTCATACTCCAGTGCTCTGTAAAGATTTCCTTATTACAGATCCTCTCCCCTTAACGGTTCCAATCACCCAAACCCTTTTACCCTTCATAAAGCATGAAGAGCAATGAAATGGTCTCTGACAATATACATCGTGAACTAGCACTTCACTTGGTAGACAACCTTCTCCATCTTATTGAGAATTTCATTTGTGGCCCTTTGGTTTGGGATTTCTCCTCCGTTTCTGATGTGTTAATGTTGTTGACTGTGACAGCCCAATGCACATAACACTCTGAGCACAGGCCCACAGCCTGGCTGTCTGGAGGTATTTAAATCATTCTCAAAGAAAACAGGAAGCAATGAGGCTTCCAACAGATTCTGTGTAGAATGGACCTCCCAAAACTGGAGCAGCCAGCATGAGAAAAGCACATCCCCCCGTCACAGAGGTGCAACTGAGTGTCCCCAGGGATGGGAAGCCATCTATTACCAGTGCCAATTAAATGAAAACTTTCTTGCTGCCCTCACCTCTCTGTCCTGAACTAAGACTGTCTGGCAACTTAGAAATGACCATACGACTTTTTATTGACCAAAGTGGTCATGAAACTGCCAAAATTCGCCTTTTGAATAAAGTTTAAAGGAAGGGGTGGGGGGGAATAATTTCATCCCATGCATGGCACCTGCTGCTATCCTTTCAACTGCCACCCACTGGGAGGCGCTGCTCTACACAGTTTGCGCAGGGAACAGACAGCAGCTGGAAGAGGCTGGAGGAGGGACATGGAGCACGGTTCTGGTGGGAAGCCAATGAGAGCAGGGAGGAGTTTGCATGAGCCTCAGGGTCTTCCTCTTTGTGACATCCAACACCAGGACATGCTCAGGAGGGTTCAGTCTTTGGCCCAAGGGGTCATGTGTCCACAAGCAAAGGGAGAACTGTCTGTTTCCAGCTCTCGTCCCAACGAAGCTGCTGGGACTCCCGAAGATTCTTCCGGAACTGGTTCAGTTTGCCAGCAGGATCAGGAAACTTTGAGAAAAGCATCTAGAAGAAAAATGACAAAAACTTCCCTCATCACCGCTTCCCGACACCCCCACCCCTGTTCCCAGCAGCCTGGACCTCTGCCGCACCCCAAACACAGCTGCACCCCAAACACAGCTGCACCCCAAAACAGCTGTCCGGGCAGTGATTTAGAAACCCTCCCTCTGTGGCCACACTACCACCACCAGTGGCTGGGAGCCTCCAGTGGCCTCCCTGCACCAGCCTGCCCAGTTTCCACACGTGGGAAACTGGTCTCAAACATCTCTGAGACTGACCTCCCTGGCCCAACCAGCCCCTCCCTCACTGGTCTTACTGGACCCCTCACACCCCAGCCATGTTCCATTTCCTACTCCTCCTACTCAACAGCTCGGCCAAGCTGCAGTGCTCGCCATCCACACACTGACCTGCAGTAGCCCCCAGCCTCTGCCATGCTGTTCCTTCCTCCAAGAGCACCCACCCCTCAGTCTCTGCCCAGCACCGTCCAGCCCATGGGCTGGGAACAAGACAATGTCTGTGTTCTTTCCAGTTTCACTAAACTAAGTCAGTCAGGTGTCTGCAAACTGTAGTCTGTAGGCTGAATTGGACCTTCCACCTGTCTTTGTAAATAGAGCTTTATTGAAACACAGTCACACCAGATTTTTCTAGCTGGGCCTTTCAAGAAAGTTTGCCACCCATGTCTCAACTATCAAAAATGATGATATATGACTTTTTGTAATAAGAAATAAGTATCCTTTGAAGACTCCCGTCCATCTTGCAAGGCTGGTCTAGGAAGCTCCCTTCACTCCTCACTCTCCCTCCTGATATCCATTGCTCCCTAGATGACAGTCCACCTGTGCACCATCATCTGCGTGGCATAAGCTCCACAAACCCAGCAGCAGGTGGAGTGTGCCTGAATTCCCCCGGGCCCACTGAGGCCCAACCTCTGGGACCACTGTTCCCTCCGGCTGCCTTTCCCCAGACCCAGCGCCGCTCAAGGAGTCCAGGGGCATGGCCCAATGCCAGCCTGAAGCCCTGCAAGCCCTGGCATGGCGGCAGACACACTACCTGCAGCTGAGCAGCCAGTTCCTCTGCATCCTCAAAGACCAGGCCATTTTCCTCATGTTTCACAAGCTCATGTAAGCTGCAGAGAGAATCGAGGGAAGTCTGAGAGCTGCCTGGAGAAGACACCAGAACTCCAAGGTGCCCACCTGGACCCCCATGCCACCACTCCCCACCCACAGGCTAAGCTAGGGGTCAGGAATAGTCAGTCTGGTTCCAATGAATCTGGTCTTAGGTTTGACATCGGAATAGAAAATAGACCTGGGAAGGTACATAGCAAAAATCCAAACCGATTTGGGGGCATGGGAAGGGGGGTTGTGGACAATGAACAGGGATCTGAGCCTTTCCTGCTCTCTGCTCTTTACAGTGAGGACACGCTCAGTGGGTTCTGCTTGTTTTTTAACCATGCGGCAGAGAAACAAGGTAAAAGGCAACCCCATTGGAGGCAGCACATTACGGGTGACTTTTCCTGGTAACCCCAGAGTGCAGTGCCCAGCTCACACAAGGGTCTAACATCCTGATTTCCGTCCAGAGGCTGGCTCACGAGCCCATGGGAGAGCAGTTTCTAGAGCTTCTTCTCACACTGTCCTCTCCAAACCCCCATCTTTGCCAGGAAGAGCGGAGACAGAATTACACTCATTTGACTAATTTGAATAAGAGTAAATGAGCTCAGACAAAAGGGAGAGAGAAATAAAATCATGTAAACTGTGCAGGCAATTTCAGGGAGTAAATGAGCTCAGACAAAAGGGAGAAATAAAATCATGTAAACTGTGCAGGCAATTTCAGCCACCGCTTTATCCTTTGAGCACAAGCCCCGAGTTGAGTACTGAGGACAAGTAGTTTTCCTTCAACATGAGCTCTAAGCGGAAGCCAACTCCTGCAGTAGGACTCAGCCCACCCGGGGACTCCCACACCCCGGGGCCACCTGGCTGAGCGGCCCAGATCAGGAGGTGGAGCCTTTCTGAGGGGCAGCTCTGACCACACTGGTTCCCCCAGCTGCTAATCTGAGAACCTAACTCCCAGAAGATTCAGTTTCCGCTCCTACCACCGGAAGTTCACGGCACACACAGGCAGGCAGCATCCAAACATGTCCACCACCTTCATGGGCAGGTCCAGGCCGCTGGAGGACTTGTGCAGGCAGACACCCAGGTCCGCTGACCCTGCGGAGGGGGTGGGGGTGGGGTCGTCAGAGCACTGGCCATGCTCCCTTTGACCACACGTGCTGTGAGGACTGTGGGTCGACGCCTCTGGTGGGGAGTGGGAAGTGGGAAACACTCCCAACCCCCCATAGAACTGGCTGGAGCCGGCCACGCATCCGGTGCAGGGTGGGGACACACAGTGTCCAATCCTGGCCACGCAGCCCTATCTGAAAACTACCTGTCTATATTAACATTTTAATTTAAACAGACTCCCTTTTCCTACTTAACCACCATTTATTTTAAAAGAACCCACAGCAATTATGCTGAATGGATTCAGAGTGTCTGCTTGGGGTGATGAGGCTGTTTTGGAAACAGACAGTGATGATGATTGCACAACACTGTGAACATAATTCATGCCACTGAGTTGTATGTACACTTTAAATGGGAAAGTGGTTAAAATGGCAAACTTTGTTATATATATTTTATCATAATAATTAGAAAAATTTTGAACCCACAGTAGACTCAACAGAAAACCAGCTGTCGCTGTGAAAATAAAGCCAAATAAACAAGCTCACATCACTAAGTACTGGCTGGAAATGCCTGCCTACAAAGGCTCTCTGCCTGGACTGCTCACTGGCTGCTGGAAGATGAGCCTTGGAGACGCATCAGTACCAGGCCAACGCTGCCCTCCCCGGAGTAATGAAGACGGGAAGAGAAGGGGAGGACATTCTCGAAGGGAACGTAAATATGCCTAACCGTCATCTCCGCACTGCCCTCCGGCACTTGGGAACAATGGGCCCCAACCAGAGCCAGCCCAGCCCTCTTGCCTGGACGGAAGAGCAGGACTGAACAGAGGGCGTGGAGGCTAAAAGGACATAAACCTCTTACAATCCCTGGCAAACAGCACCTGAGCCCACCGGGCAGGGAGGAGCTGGCACACCAGGAAACAGCCTCCCTTCCTGGAGCTCAGTCAGCAGCTCCTCCGACAGGTTCCTGGCAAGCAGCATCTCTGTCCCAGGTGGCCCCTGGAGCAGGGCCCAAGGCCAGGCCCAACTCAGCCTGAGGCTGATGTATGTATGGCCCTTGAGCTGAGAATATCTTTTAATTTTTAAAGGGTTGCAAAAACAAATGTGCAACAGAGGCCAATAAAATATTTACAATCTTGTCATTTTCAGAAAAAGTCTGTCCCCCAGCCCTAAAGTATTCCCTCTTAAACCTCAGCCCAGCCCCCCCTCCAACACCCCTCCTGCCAGGCGTCCTTACCTAGAAGCAGGGGGTAATCCTCAGCCTCCAGCCATGGGGTACAGACCTGGATGTGCTGGAGATGCTTCTGGCCAATGAGGTGGCTGTAATGCTCCTTCAGAGGCCCTTTGCCTTTCAGAGAAAATCGGAGTTACTACACTGGCCCGCCTCTGGCTCCACCCATGGCCCAGACCTGAGAAGCCCCTGCCAAGGAAGCCCACACTCCTCAGCTCCAATCAAACTCCCATCTGGCCCCTTCCAGAAACAACCCTCCAGGGGTGTGCATCCTGACCACTGAGGCCATGGCAACCTGCATCCAGCAGACTGTGAGCGTGGCCAGGATAAACTCTGGCCTGGCGCCAGAGTGCCAATTAGACACCGATTCTCACATGGACTACCCTGTGCCTCGCCAGGAGTCCCAGGTGGCGTGGCATGTGCAGTGGGCTTCTGCCACCCTGGGAGCCCAGAGGCCAGGAGGAGGGGAGTGCACAAGGTGGGACACCTGGCCCAGGACCCTCCTCCTCCGACCACAGCTCTGCTTCTCTTCTCACTGGGCTACTTTGGAAGCAATTTTATGTCAGACAATGGCCTCTTTAAAAAAAAAAAAAAAAAAAAAAAAAAAAAACACCTGCAAACCACTGAAGAAGTGAAAAGTTCAGTTTCAAACCTAGGCCCCATGCCCTGCTGTGAGGCCCTCTGAGCCTCAGTTTCCCCCGCTGTCAAATAGATGTAGAAAAACCTATGTCAGGGAGCTGCCATGAGGATTAAGGAAACAAGGAGCATTCCGTGCCTGACACACTGGAAGCAATTTTATGTCAGACACTGGACTCTTTAAAAAAAACAAAACACCTGCAAACCACTGAAGAAGTGAAAAGCTCAGATTCAAACCTAGTCCCCATGCCCTGCTGTGAGGCCCTCCCCTGAGCCTCAGTTTCCCCCGCTGTCAAACAGATGTAGAAAAACCTATATCAGGGAGCTGCCATGAGGATTAAGGAAACAAGGAGCATTCCGTGCCTGACACAGGAGAGGCACACCAGAAAGGCAGATGCCTTCCCCTCTCCTTGCCCCCAAGCCAAATACAGGAACATGGAGGGTCCCAGGCAGTACCTGTTATCACACAGACCAAAGAAGGCAAGCTTTCTCCATTCAGGATCAGCTGTTCAAACTCTGTGTTTAAGAAAATACATGATGACCAGGATCGTCTATTCAGGTGAGGGAGGGGCGGGGGAGGGGAACGCGGAGGGACAATTCCAGACACAAGGTCACTCTCCCAGAGATGGCACTTCAGTTCTGGGCCTGGTCACTCAATGACCCAAATGGGGACTCAGAGCCACCACCTCCACCACCCAAGTGCCCAGGCTGCCCACCCTGCAGCCCAGGGGGGAGGGACACTCTGCAGAGGACACCACGCAGCTCAACAGCCCCTGACAAGCCCAGCTCCTGATCACAGCCACACACCTACTTTCTAACGCTGCCAGCAAGATGGAGAAGTCTTCATCCTCTACAAGAAGAGAGACAGTATCACACTGGTTTCTAAATGTCTCCCCCCCCCCATCCCACCCAGCTCAACGCCCTCCCCTTTCTCATCAGGGCCTCAGGGCACCCCAAATGTATGTGGGGGGCACAGGCCTGGCAGGAAGGAGAATGCCGGCTGAGACAGGTGCTCATACAAGCCCCCAAGTGCACAGGGGGATCCTGAGACCTGTCCAGCTCGTGCTGCTGACCAACAGGGCTGGCCGCCCACGAAGACGTGTCACCATCCCACTGTTAGCATCCCGCTCCGTGAAGGCGGACCTCTCCGTGGTTGGGTCCAAGGGATCTGAGCTGAAGGAGCAGAGACAGAGCCTGTAAGATGCCACAGAGCAGGCCCACAGGCCCCAGGATGGCCATCGCCCACCAGAGCGAGGCCCCGAAGCTCCCAAAGGTCAGGGTATGGCCATGTCAGACACACCGAGCCAACCCTACAACCCTAGGCCGGGGCACAGACATGTGCCTTGCTTTCTGTATCAATATTTATTGGTTGCTAGGTGCTGAGGTCACAACAGCAGACAAGACCGACTCAGCCCCAGCCATCACCAGCTTCCTGTTCTTATCATTCCCTCAACTTAGGACAGTGGTCGGCAAACTGTGGCTCGCGAGCCACATGAGGCTCTTTGGCCCCTTGAGTGTGGCTCTTCCACAAAATACCGACTTCTGCGCATGGGCCACGAAGTTTCAATCGCACTGTACATGTGCGCCCGCACGTGGTATTTTGAGGAAGAACCACACTCAAGGGGCCAAAGAGCCGCATGTGGCTCTCGAGCCACAGTTTGCCGACCACTGACTTAGGATGAAGATGCTGTGACCTCCCACCTGGCTCCCAGGTTACTGAAAGGAGCGAACAACTGGCGCGTGAACTGCTGCTCAAAGGGCCTTTCCTGAGCCCTGGGAGACCCCACAGATCACACAGGTCCACAGACGCCGCCATGGGGTCAGGAGCCTGCAGGCAGGAGGGTAAGATGCCCACAGCCTTGTGCAGGCCGAACATTTCCTTAAATGGCCAGAGAATAAACACTTCAAGCTTTTATTTGATCTCTTTTGTAACAGCTCCACTGTTGTAGTGTGAAAGCAGCCGTGGACAATGCATAAGTGAATGAATGTGCTGCATTCCAATAAAACTTTATTTATGAACAGGCAGTGGGCCTGGAACCATAGTTAGCCAACCCATAGATTTAATGGATTCCTAAGTCTGCAGCAAAGAGACAGGGGAAAAGCCAGGAGAGCAGCGAACACAAGAGAAGATGGAAGACAGGAGACCTACCTGGCCCTGAGTGCAGGGTAGGTGCGGCCCAGCTTCATAAAGAGCCGGTGTTGCAGGTCCAAGGGCGTCTCTTTAAAGAAAGATGCTGGCTTGTCGTAGACAGTCACAGCTCTGCAAAGAGATCAGAGGGAGGCTCTAGGAGTGGAGAGGGGCTTAAGGAATAGAAGACCCAGGAAGATGTGGAAAAAGAAGGGCACTTGGGGGATCCAAGTCTCAGACAATGACAATAAGAAGCTATGAATTACTTGGGGAATCAGAAAGAGAAGTTCTAACATCAAAACTGCCTGGGCCAGTCCAGGTGGTGTGACTCAGGGATTGAGCGCCGACCTATAAACCAGAGGTCACAGTTCAATTCCCAGCATATGTCTGGGTTGCAGGCTTGATCCCCAGTGGGGAACATGCAGGAGACAGCCAATCAATGATTCTCTCTCATCATTGATGTTCCTATCTCTCTCTCCCTCTTCTTTCCTCTCTGAAATCAACCAACATATATACAGTGGGGCCTTGACTTACAAGTTTAATTCGTTCCGAGACCGATCTCGTTAACTCAAATTACTCTATCAACTCAATGCAAAAAATCGGCCGAGAGACAGCTGGTATCTCAAAAAACTCGTTAGTCGGGACACTCGTAAGTCAAGGCCCCACTGTATTTAAAAACTGCCTGGGCCGTCTGGCTGGCTGGGAAAGAAACTCCAACCTCCTCCTCCCTCAGCTTCTCAAGACAATAACCATCTCCCAGGCCCCTGGATATTTCCAGATGCCTCGCCAACATGACACAGCAAGCACTGCAGCTGGGACCAACTGAGCTGGGGCCCCTTGCCCACCCCAGGTCCCTACTTGATGCCCCAGTTCTCTGCCAGGTCTTCCCGCATCTCACTGGTCACACACAGGTTCAGGTGGGAGAGGCGTCCGAAAAGCTTTTCGTACCTGAAAAGACACAGTGTTGCTCAGCCCAGAGCCCTGGCCAGGCCGCACGACCATAACCACCATGTGACCGGAAACCTTCCCGTACAGAAGAGGCTGCAGAGCTGGGGTCTCCCAAATCGAGTCACTGGCAAGATAACTTCCCAGGATTTGTACTGAGTTCCACCTGTACTACTGTTCCTTCACATTTTTCTTTACATTGTATCGCTTCTCAGCTTAAATACAATTACTTTCAAAGGAAACAACATATGCTACCGAAGGGAAAATCCAGTCTCTCTTGCCATAAGAAGAAATACAATAAAGTCCCTGTTATTAAATTTTAGCTACCCTGCAATTTTAGCCTTTAGTTCCCTACAAAGGCTGTAGGGCTGAGGATGCTCCCCATGTGTTACAGAGGAGTTTAGCAAATGACAGAGAGGTGTCAACAACAGTTTTGCTCCAAACGGAGGCTTGCAACCTGATGATAGGGCAGAACTGAAAGAGAACCAGAAAGGGGGAATGAGACTCAGGTTAACACCATTGGTGTATCGGGGCTTGTTGCTAATTCAGGATGCAGAGAGCTCTGGAATTGGACAGCCTGGGCCTGCATTTTGGGCCACACACTTATTAGCTGTGAGACAAGAGACATAATGGTTCTCAGCCTTGATTTCCCAGCCTGTAAAAGGGGGGCAGTGTAGACTGAATGGGATAAAGGACTTGGACTGAGCCTGGCATGCAGCAAGTGCTCAATAATTACTGCTGCCACCACTGCTGTTACCACCATCAGAGAATGACCCATCAGGGGAGGCTGCAAGTCCCCGCTGAGGCAGGTGTTGTATACTGGGGCTCAGAACAGACCAACTCTGCCTGCTCCTGGTCAAACCTGCTACCACAGGCCCTTTTTCCCTCTCCCTGTCTCATCAGCCGCATTAAACTGTGGCCTGTGGCCCTATCTTCCAGCAGCAGCCCGTTTTTATTTGGGAATCTGGTCTGGGTACACCCGGGATCCCAGCTCTCCCAGTGGAGTACTTGTGCCAATCCTGAGGCAATGCGGTGCTACAGTTCCCAGCCTCAGTGCGAGGTCACAGGATGGCAGGTGCCAATCAGAGGCTCACTCTCTCCAGAGCCTGACAGGGTGAGGCTGACAGCAAGGGGAGCTCCCAGAACCTGAGAAATACCTTCCAGAGGGAGTGTGGAAAGAGAGATGAAAGGGGTCCTGATAACACCCTTTTTGAGTTCAAGTCAGCCATTTCTCTGGACTTTTCTGTTTCATGAGCCATCAAATGCTGTCCTTTGCTTAGGCCTGTTTCCATCACTTTTAACCAGCATCTGCCCAATTCCCCAGCCTAGCCCTTACCCCACAGAGTATATAGGGAACCAGCTTCACTGAGTCTCCACCCAGGCCCTTCTTCCTACCACAGTTTAGGGAAGGTATCTGCACCATCCTTCCAGACCCTCACCACTTGGCCAGCAGAACGAGGCAGTGGCTGGGGCCATGTACCAGACCCATAATGGAGTAGCCATAGTTGTGCCAGTCGATGACGAGCTTGGTCCCACAGAGGCAGGCCACAAACCAGCAGACAGCAATGGCAGGCAGGCCGGGGGGGTTCTGGGATATAGAGAGACTTGAATGAAGAGGAGGAAAGCAGACCATCATTGACAATAAACTGAGTGCAACGTACATGATCGATAGCCAGAAAATCTTCTTCTACTAAAAAAGGTATAAAACGTCATAAAAGAAACAAACTGACCAACCTGAAAAGTCCCAGATCATCGAACCAAGGAGGTACATTTAGTTAGGTGGCAATTGTGTGGGGGAAGAGGCATCCCCTTGGGTAGGGGGTAAACTGGCCCAGCCTTACTCTAGGACTATCAGGTAGCACACCACAGCATTTTAAAGTGCATCAGTTTTGACCAAGCACTGCCACTCCTATGAATTGATCCCAAGAAAGAGATCAGATTTATGCAAAAAACATATATTCATTGATACTCTTTTACCATAAAAAAAGACTAAATAAATAATTAGGGTACATCAGCCAATTAAATGAAGGTGCTTCTACCCAGCCAATATGGCTCAGTGGTTGAGTGTCGGCCTATGCACCAGGAGGTCACCAGTTCGATTCCTGGTCTGGGCACATGTCTAGGTTGTGGGCTCAATCCCCAGCAGGGAGGCGTGTAGGAAGCAGCCGATCAATGTTGATGTTTCTCTCTCATTGGTGTTTCTATCCCTCTCGCTCCCTTCCTTTCTCTCTAAAATCAATTTTTTTTAAAAATGTTTAAATAAATAAAAAATAAAAAGGACAAATGGGAACATTCCCTTAATGTGATGGTCCTCAAATGTTTTTATTACCTACAGGTAAGGTATAAGATTTTCTTTTCTTTTCTTACTGTACAGTCAGATGAAATGTTATTTTTAGGATTCTAATATTCTCTCATTAGCAGGGCCCATGTGGGAGGCAACCAATCAATGTTTCTCTCTCTCTCTCTCTCTCTCTCTCTCTCTGTCTCTCCCCCGCCCTTCTACTCTCTCCAAAACTCAATAGAAAAAAATACCCTTGGGTGAAGATTGACAAAACAAAAAATTCTGCCTCCAGCACTTCCTAGCTGTGTAACAGTGGGCTACTTACTGAACTTCTCTGGATCTAGGTCTCCTCATCTCTAAAATCTCTAAAATGTAATATAAGAACCTACTTCTTAGAATTGCTGTCAGTGATTAAATGAGTTAACACATGTAAAACACTTAGATGTGTAATAAGTACAACATGAGACTTATCTGTAATGACATAGAAAAGTAAACTGGATGGGTACCATAAACAGAATGGACACATACTCTAGTCTCCTATTCATATTCTTAAAAGTTTATACACACAGACGTGCAATTTATTTACCAACCTGTGCATTTTTAAAGGCTGGAAAGTAAGGAGAACTGTTAACAGTGATTCTCACAGAAAGAAGCAGGGCTGACATATACCTGGAGAAAGATGTAGGCTGCTGGCTCAGTGCACATCAACTTCCACAGCAAGTGCACCACCTGAAATACAACTTTGACTCCATACTGAAGAATGTGCGGCCCAACTGCAAGTCAGAAAATAGCTGTCACTACCAAAAGCGTTCTTGGCAATTTGCAGACACCACCACCACTCTCCCCGGCCCTCCCCCCCCCACACACACACACACAGAGAGAAATCTGGAGTGCGCTGCACCCTACCTGCAAGTCTCTCAAGTTCTGTCAAAGGTACAATCCGAATTCTGTCACTCTGCAAGAGCTCATCGTGGGGTTTGGAGTCTGAAAAGAATGTCCCCTTTAATGAACCAGACAGGACAATCTAATTTAAAGACAGATGACCTGCCAGCTCAGGCAAAATAGTGGAGAGTATTTTGGAAAATAGGACTTTTCTTTTTTTAAAAAATATATTTTTATTGATTTCAAAGAGGAAAGGAGAGGGAGAGAGAGATAGAAACATCAATGATGAGAATCATTGATCAGCTGCCTCCTGCATGCCCCCTACTGGGGATCGAGCTTGCAACCCGGGCATGTGCCCTTGATTGGAATCGAACCTGGGACCCTTCAGTCCACAGGCCGATGCTCTATCCACTGAGCCAAATCAGCTAGGGCAGAAAATAGGACTTTCCAAACAATTCTCTGTTCCTCAATTGCCAGAACAGAGAATGAGGCCAATTCTTGTCCAGATTCCACTAGACTGCCCACAGAGGAAGGGCCTGAATCCTATTCACCTTTAGGTAACACAATACTTGGCACATAGTAGCCCCTCAAACTGATCTAGATTCCCTGGATGGTGGAATTATCCCACCACAGGGAGACCCCTATGAAGTCCCACTCCACCCCCTCACCCTCAGAGAGCAGACTCTAAACAGAGACCAAAGGCAACCAGTGCTCTTATTACTGCTTTGCACTCATATAGAATGAGCTGCCCTTTAACGATGTCAACACGGAGGAGGATGGAGGAACAGACACGCGTGACGCAGCACACTGAGGGGAAAGCTGGACATGCTGTGCAAATGAAAAACATCTGTCTGCAGAGCTCTGCAAAGAGGAAGGCAGGGGAGACAGGCTGCCTGTCCCTTCAGACGCAGCCTGACAAGAGCAGCCGCAGAGACGCGGTTACCAATACTGGCCCTGGGGTCACACGCACCTGGGTTCCAGCCCGCCTTTCCACTTACTAGGAGGGTTCAGTGAGAACTACGCAATGAGTTCATTTAGCTTAGCACTGTCCTGGCATATGGCAGGCGCTCGTTTACAGCTCCCTTAGCCTGTTCACGCAGACCCAACCAGCAGAGCCTGCGCAGAAACCTGGCAGCAGCTGTCCAGGAAAACAGCGGGCTCGTGCATCGCGGAGAGCTGCCCAAGGGAGGAGAGAGAAAAGGTGATCAAGCTGAGAGAGCTGCCGCCTTCCCAGATCCCCGGCACTCACTGCAGAACCCCAGGAGGGTCACGGAGAAGCCACACTTGGTCAAGGACAGCGCGTGGTACTGCATTCGGGGGCTGCGGCCCACGTCG